GCAGTGGTCTGCAGTCCGTGCGGTCAACGAATCAACGATACTAGGTGCATGACCTGTGTTAACGAATAAGACAATTTTAGGACAATCCTCATAGATGATGTATTCTTATCAGAAGACACAACATGAACCGTTACAAAATGAACTCATTGTGATACAATATCCAGGCATAATTAAGAATGTTGATCGCGCACTGGAAACACTTGGAGGTTTGCCAAAAATCTCGCAGGTGAGTATCTGAATAAAATGAGCATATAAAGCGTCTAAGCTTTGTATTGTTGCTATCCATTGCGTTCGTAGTGCGACATCTTCCAACACTCCAGAATCACTTCTGCGGTCATGCTCTGGAGCTTCGACACACACCAGAGAATCCCTACACTAGTGCCTCAGTCTCAGAAAAGAAAGTGGATGCTGTAGTGAGTGGTAGTCAGGGTTAGATACCGTCACCTTCTCCTTGTAGTTGGACATACCTAGCAATGCAGACATCTGTATTAACTTGTTAAACTCAGGCACTTCTCACAGCGAGAAAGCACGAAGTGCAGCGCTTTGAAGTAAAGCTTTACCATGTTCACAAGCTTGTTCAAATGTCTGCAATGCTTCGCCCGACATATTGAGGCGACTTAAATTACAAGAAAAAGATTCTAAACAAAGCGCTGCGAACTTTCATCTCAGTTCAAACAAAATATTTAGGTGACCTCTGGCACTCTTCGCGTGATAATGCAGATTCGGCGGAAGAAAAAGAAACCGAGTGTGATTGAAACAAAATTTCTAGGCCTGGTTAGTCACATTTATCCATCCTGCCTCGTTCATCACAATTATCTAGGAGACTTCCATATTGAAGCAATTCCACCACTACCATTTGAATGTCGTTTTGGAATTTTTTATAGAATTATTATTGTTTATGTAATTAACATATTTTTGAAATTCAGGTTAATTATGTCTACACTTTCGACACGATGTGCGATTTTCAATATCTGCCGTTGAAGAAACGACAAGACAAGGACGAATTTGACGATCTAATACCTCGTCTCATACCTCAAGATCTTCCGGGAGCGTTATGTTGGTGAGGCTACATCGTCACTCTACCTTATTCTATTTTTTTATTTACTTAGTTCTTTATGTTTGTCCTTATTTTACAAATTCCCGAAAGCTGGATAGTTAATTTCAAGATTTTTGCCTAATTTCAGTGATTTTTGTAACTCTTTTTCTAAGGTGGGACAGACCTGATGCTCATCCTGGATACACGCCGCTCTATCTTCCTCCGTATCAGTTTAGCCGTTACAATACGCCGTCGAATAAGCTTCTTTGTCGCGACACTGATTTCGCATTGGAGAAAAGTAGGCGAAAAACAGGGCATGGACAAAGTACGTTATCTCTAAGCCATCTTGTGGATCTATCTGGGCATTTTTCTAGATTTGCGACTGCACAGAAAAGCGCTTTCGGTAACAGTGCAAGCAAATGACATATTCCCAGATGCGCCAACACCGGAGGCGGTGGCGGATGCAGATTTCAGGTTTCTTCATTTCTTTGTTTAATCTGAGCTCGCATTTTGAAATTTCAACTTAGATGCAAGAACGAAGAACCACATAAAATGATAGCAGCTCTGTATCGGGAACGACCCATGTGGACGAGAGTCGCCATAGCATACAAGACAGGGCTTGAATATACTTTGTTAAAGTAAGTGCCTAGTAATCTCTTTTTCGAAAACACCAGATAATGTTTTTTCCAGAACGCTACTGCAAAAATACGCATTTTACATTCAGTCAGGCCCTTGGGGTAGGCTGTGGTGCAAATTCGGTTACGATCCACGGAAAGACCCTGAAGCAAAAAATTACCAAACGCTGATGGTGTCCTTTAGGTACTACTTTCTCTAGTTCTAGTTTGAAAATAGTAATGTGTTTATAGGCAGCACACCAGAATTCCAGAAAGGCAGCGTCTGAAGGTGTCATCAGATCGCGGTTATCAGTCGGATGCTTCGGCTATTGTACATTACACATATCAACAAGGTGCCTATTACGCTCAGATAAACGCATTGTTATCGGCGACATACCTGGCCTCTACAAGCTGCTCTTTGCCGCATTACTTCGCAAACTAATTCTCTTTGCCGCATTACTTCGCAAACTAATTATCTCTTAAACTTATGCTCTTCAGATGCGCAAAATATTTAATGGAACTGCTTAGGAATTGGCCGTAGATGGCCGGGGTTGTCGAAGGGGAAGCCTAGATAGCACTTAGCCACGGAGACTACTATGAAATCCTATAACGCCCGGCAACGTCGGCAACACTTGCCGGCAACCCACGGCTGGGTTCAAACTGATTCGTTAATTCCGGAACAGTTCCAGCACAGCACTCGAATTGCACAGCTGTTCTGGAACTGTTTCCGGATTTACGGATCAGTATGAACTCAGCCTACAGTCTGCTCCAATCGGGATCAGGCCGACCGGTTGGGGTGAATTGTTCGCACCGCTAGCGGTTCGCGCCGCATTTGAGCATTGTCGGAGAGAGGGCGCTATTCCACTTAATACAACCCAAAAATTGAAAAT